TCTGGACTCAGGTCCTCATTACCTACGGCTTGCCAGGTGGGCATCAATGCCGGCCGGCTTGGCCAGTGGTCATGGGTGATGGGAACTGGAGTCCCACAACAACTGGAGAGTGACACATTCCCCATCTTGTAAGAAAGACTCACAGGACAAATGTGTGGCAGCACGAGCACACACACAACTGACCACACGATTGAAGTCATTGCAGGGCTAGTTTTAACGTGATGCGGTCTCAACTCAGCCCGAGCCCGTTCTCAGTACATCTGGCAGCCCAGCAGATGGAAAACCAGCAACTGCCGCTTCTCCCTGGGCAGAGCCACTGGCTCGCACAGAGGTAGCTGGACACGGCAGTAGGCCTGATTCTGCCCATTCCTGACCTGCACTCTCCGTTCCTGGAGGTTTCCAGCTCCAGCATAAGAGGCCATTCATTCAGACTCGTCCCTGAGCACCCATTGTACTTGGCTTGCACTTGCCCTCCCGTGTGTATCGGCCTTGTGTGAGACTGATCTGGACGGCAGAGCACAGTGCTCTTCTTTGAAGTGCACCCGTGCCTCATGGGTCAGTAGCTTCCAAATGAGGTGCCTGTTTGCACTGTACATCCAGAGAACAGGAAGAACTTAGTGTGAGTCAGGCTGAGCTAGGGGAGAAGAGATTGCAAGGCAGACAGAAAGCTCTTTGGAGCCCAAAGAGAAAGTGAAGCACAGGAGTGAAGAAAAGGATCCGAACTCAGGGATCAATGCACTCGCGTGTGCATGTGGGAGCATGGACTGAGTCCAACCATGGGTCCATCAACACTCCATGAGTGAAGCGGGGTAAGTGCTTAAGAAAAGCCTTTTTCTGGAGGCACCCTTCGTCCGCCTTACGGACCCGCTGCATGTGCAGCATGGATAGAATTATAGAGTCGTAGAATAGTCGAGTTGGAAGGGGCCATGAAGGCCATCAAGGCCAACCCCCTGCTGGTGCATATTCTACCTCTAAGCTTCAGCTCCCCCCACCCCCAGCATAGAGGGCAGGTTTGCACATTGCAACAAGCAAGGGTGTGGGGTCGCCATGACTGGTGGCAACTCACCACATTTTCCCTGCTGCCGATCACAAATCCCAGCTGGTTCCATCATCTTCTGCCCACCTCAGTTTCACCATGAGCAAAATCCCCTTCATTATGACATTCCTTCCTATGGACTGCAGTTTTACACCCAGTCCCTCTTCCTGATTTTACCTCTATCCCTTTTCATACTTCCTACCCAATCCTGACCCCAAAGCATTTCTTAACATCAAAGCAACACTTTTGCTCTGATTCCCCCGCTTCTCTCTCCATGCATTTACCAACTTTCCCACTGTTTCAGAAAGTGAATGGGATGAAAGCACTCAGCCAACAGGAGTAAAACAAGTGATGATTTGTGTCTGTTGCTAAAAGACTGTGAATAGTAGACTTTAGATGCCTGGAACAACCCCTTCTCTTCCTGTTTTTTTCTGGATGACTTTGTGGTATTTTTCACCACGAACAGAAAAATGGAGCTCCCAGGTACAGCCATCACAAAAGACAACCACAGGAAACAGAAACCATGCAACAGGTTGTTTTTCTCATCAAGGGTTTTGGGCCCAAAAGAAGCAGTAGTGATATACCATGACTGGGTCAGGACAACACAACAAGTCCACAATGGTAGAGCAACAACAACACCTGATTGTTTGTCACAACGTCCAGACCCCGTGGAAAAGCTGGTTTGTGATGAGTGAGCGTAGGCCCAGCTGACCGGCAGAAATGGCTCTCCAGGGATGCAGGTGGGGGGGGGGTCTTTCCTAGCCCTGCCTGGAGTGGCAGGGGATCAAAACCAGGCCCTTCCACATGCAGTGCAGGGGCTCCACCACTGAGCTACTGACCTAAGGGCCAGGTCACAGGGACAGGTTTAGGACTGCCGATCAGCTATGACTTCTCAAGCTCTCATTTTATCTTCTTGGCCATTCGCCAAATTCAGGGTGCAAAGCTAAACCAACCCAGCAAAAACAGAAGATCTTCCCCCAGCCTTGTTTTCTTGCAGTTGATTCATATGGATGAACTATGGTAGCACCCAAATGACCACAATTTGTGGAGAGTAACTGCATTTCTGTGTAGAGGGCATACTCGTGTTGTGAATGCACACCGTGTCACCCATCCCTGGGCAAGCCTGTCACTTTTGGTTTGAGTTTTCTTCATTTCTCATTTTCCCACTGCCCCGAGATCTAACTCTTAAAAAGAACAAGACATGAATGCAGCAAATACCGTTTTTCAGCACACATGGGATGAAACAGCACACATGTGAACATGGGATTCTCAGCTGCTGCACAACCGAAACAGCCACCCGGGCGAGACGATACGCCTCTCAGCTGCTGGTGGAGCACAGGCGGGGCTTCTGCTGCACTAGCTCAGCAAGCCAGGATGAGACCCAGCAGAGCAGACTGCTGTGCGCACAAATCGTTTCCAAACTAGAGAGAGGGTACTTCATATCAGGAAACCGTGTGCATTTACTGGCACTGCCGATAGCAAATGCACAAGCCCACAATGCTGCCTTTTAAGACTTTTGGATAGCCCCGCTCCTGCATAACATGTACTTTGGTCGACAGGAATTAGGATTGCTTATCTGTGCATGTTTCGGACCTGGTTAAGCGATTCAAAGCAAACTTTTACTTGATTCTGTTTTTATCCCACCACTCTTGCTAGAACCTCATCTCCTCAAGACTGAGGCGGACTCCCAAGGAGGCATTTATCAAGCAATCTCCTCGCTTCACTCATGGAAGCTTGCAGGGGTCCAGATGACATTCTCTGTGATTTGTCACCCTCCCGTGTCTCCTTAGTCACCCCATCTTTTCTGCTTGCTGCTTGCTCCTCCATTAAGGAGGAAATGATGGAACTAGACTTCACAAGCCCTCCATCTGGAAGTACTCAAAACCACTTGAGCAGGCTGCAACTGAGAAGGCTTTGCTCGAGGAATAGGAAGGACTGCTCCTTCAAACAGGCATAATTAAATCGGCACATTTCCTCAGAAGCAAGCCCCGTTGTGCTCAAAGAGGGTCCCTCGCTAATTATCGCATTTACGATTGCAGCTCAAGTGTCTGGTTGGGGAACAATGGCATGGCGGCTCAGGAGCCGCACACCTCCTTTGCATTTCACAGGTCTCCATTTCAGTCCCCGGCATCTTTGGGCAATGCTGCCAGACTCCTTGCTGGAACTTGGAAGAGCTGGGGCCCGTGAGCACAGAAAATAACAAGCTGGGTGCTCTGGCTTGGTATCTACTGGGCGACGACCTACAGGGCCAGCCCTATCTTGGGCCAGAACGAGGCAGCTAATTTGGGGTGTCACTGAAAGGCAGCCCATCTTTATTTATTTTCTTTTGTTTCACTTTTACTGCCAGGGAAGGGCAGAGGTGCTTGTGGGATTTTCTCCAGCCAGTGCCAAAATAACCTAGACTCCTTGACTCAGGAAAGGCGTGCCATTCGCTGCTCTGCCTCAGGCACCAAAACATTTTCCTGTGAATTTAGAAATGAATTCAGTGGAACTATGTCATAAAGAACATTTAGTCAAAAGCACAAAATAAAAATGAGTAGCTACCCAGACTTTGATGCTTGGGTTTGTTATAGTGGGTATCATAATGTATCACCCCACTTGTACCAATTCTCACTGTAGGATTGCATCGGGGAATATACCAGGACTCACAGGACTCTGTTCAGGCGCAATCCTGTGTATGTTTAAACAGAAAAACAGAAACTCTCAGCGTTCTGCATAGAATTGCACCCTAGCACATAGGACCCAGCTCTGATGCACCTATTTCCTTTGGGCGATTATGTAACAGCCGCGTTTTTAGCAATTCTAAAGGATCCTAGTGCAGAAGAACCCTCTGCTGTGATTGATTTGGTCAATGCAAAGACATGTGCACTTAAAGTAAAGCAACCATCCTTTACAGCAAGAACCTGTCTTCCCTTGAATAACCCGGGTGGTGAGAAGAGGTCTACACAGCAGGCCCAACCATGAATGGGGCCATCCCGTCTCTCTTTCTACTCAGCTTTTTCTCACGCACTCTTTCTAGCACCCCCTTCTCTCTGTCTCTGTCTCTCCCCCACTCTCTCCTGTTCTTCCTCCCCACCAGGAAGGCTGCCTAAGGAGGATGGATTGCTCGTTGCAGCAGTCTGAACTGAAAACTCGCAGAAGGATTTTCATTCCTGCTTCCACGGCTCCTTCCATTTCAGCTGCTTCCCACTCGCAACCTCGTTCTCTCCTGCTAGGCCTTCCTCACTTGCAGGGTCAGGCCTGGGCTGCAAGATGCCCATCCCTGCAGCCTGGAAAAGTATGTGGATATTTGGCCTGTCGGAAGCTTATGCATACCTGTTTCTGCTGATAGCTTCCTCATCCCATGTGCATATGTACTTACGAACATACATTTCATACACATCTACCTAGTGTGAGTGATTCATTTTATTTTCTGTAAGAAACACACGTAGTTCTTCTTTTATATAGTTTGGTATGTTCTGCTGAAATTCACATTAAGCATATTCATAACGAGTACCATCCTTCCCTTCACTTCATTACAAGTAGCATTCAAAGGGCTGGATCCAAAAGGACAGGGCTCCTGCACATTTAATTGTTATATAGAAGAGGCAATCTCAGCAGGCATAACTCGTCGTGCAACTTAATTCTGCTGAAATTCCCTTCTGCACAAGTATTAAAGATGTTGGAGCCCTGCCCAGCTTTCCATCTGACCACCCTAAAAGTTTTGTTTGTGGCTTAATGCCCTAGGAAAACAGTGACCCCCAAATGCAGAAGAGTTTCACTGCACTGGGCAATGAGCTTGCATAACCGCACTCTCAAAACCATTCTATGCTTCCTGAACGTCTCTCCACGACAGCACGAGTTTTCCCTGGCCAGGGTCGTGGTAACACAACGGCAGCCCCCGGTGGCACCACACTAGGGGAGCCTTCTGCTTCCTTTTGCACACAGTTCACAAAGCAGCATCCCGGGATCCAACAGAAAGATGGCATTTTGGGTTTGGTTTTAATCTTTTCCAGGATTGGGAACACATCCAGGTGCAAATGGGCTAAAATAATGCTTGGCGTGGAGGAAATGAAGAGGAATGTTTTCCTTCTCAGGAAGATAATAAGGAATACCTGGACTTTCGAAACCAGCTTGGTTCATGGCCACAAGCAATGTCCAGCTGAAATGTAGCAGTGATGAGACAGAGCAACGACAGGCAGCTGTGCAATGCAGGAGACTCCAGGGAAGGAGGGTTTGTGACCCGTTGGCTGCTCTGCTTATGAACTGGTGGGCATCTATCCTCTCGCGGAGCAGAGATCCAGCCCTTCACCAGCACCCGGCCTGCTTGCACCGAGGGCATCCTAGCTGCCAGCTCTTGTTCCTGCTGAAAACAATGATTCCCTTGTATCTTCAGGAGCACTCCCACAGCACCATCTACTGTTTCTGCAGTCTCAGCATCTAAAAGAGGCACAGCAGAACATTTCTAAGAAATGCAGAGTCTGTGTATGTGACTGTGCATGTGTTTTGCGGTGTGTCTCTGTTGTTGGTGAGAGGTGCGCCTTCTGCAAAGAAACATTTCATGCAGCGTGTTCTTTTGGCACCTGCCTTTCTTTTTGTGGTTATGCTTTGAGGGCTTCGATGTTCCAATAAGGTTTTAAAAAACAAGGTGATCTGATGCACTCCCAATATGATTTTGCAGATATCGTTGGGGCAACTACGAGCATGGAGTGCTGAATGGGAAAACATGTCGATCAGCCTGAGGGGGAGCAGCAGAAGACTCAGCAGCCGAAGTGAAGTCAGGCCCTCCCTCTTTCTCCACATGGTAGAAAATGTAGGGCCCTTGCTCAATGGGGGAGAAAGCACCCCAGCTCTCAGGCACTACCCAGCCACCAACATTTTGGGATCTGCCTTCTGCAGCAAGGAAGAGGCGCACACCAGAGGCAGGGCGGGAAAAAGCCCCTCTGCCTCACTTTTAGGGATCCCCTCAGCACGCACCACAGTTCTCACCCCATGCATGAGGGTCTCCTGGCTCTCTCTTCAGGGGCTACGGCTGTGGGAAGTGGAGGAGAGAAAGTCCACTCTGCCCATGCACTTCACCCCAGGAGTCTCCCTCTGTCTAGGCCAGGTGGGAGCGTCACTGCATTTGGATAAATAAATCTCAAGGAACTCCTACCATGAACTAGCTTCACTATCTTACTACAACAGTTTAATATTTGCATCACAATCTACAGTTCGTAATGCTTTTCCAGGGACCCTGTTGGTGAGCCATTGTTTTTAGGTGAGGGGAAGCTGATTCCAGGCCCATGTGCCATATCCAGCCCATGGTACTGCCTATGGACAACAAAGCCCTATCGGTGCCCCCGCTCCCCAAGTCCTGCCCCTGACCTGGGGAGAAACCTCTCATGTGATCTCTGATTGGAGATAACATGGGGGTTCCTGTGCACAACATTGCCCCCCCCACCCCACATGTGGGGGATGGACAATAAGAAAGGGAATCCCTCTTTATCGCTGATCAAATAGAAGAGATGGCACGAGGATTTTCGCATTTAGCATGAGGTTATGGAAGCTGGCTCCTGCACAGAGCAGGCAAATCCCTTCCCTTCCTGCCCCCCCGGAGTCATCTAGCCACAGTCTAGAGGGCCAGACTGGCCCTCTGATGAAAATATTGCCTGCCCCTGCCTTGGGCCAGCTTTTGGTTCCACAGGACATGTTCGTCTGGGTTTTCTTGCCATCCTTTCTCATCCCTTCCATGGCCTCCTCTGAGAGGCTTTTGGCTGCCTTGCAAAGAGGCAAGCCTGTGCAGCTTTCTTCGCGGGGAGAGAGAAGGGCTGCATCACTGGGATAGTCCTACCTTCTGTCCAGTTCTAGGAAGCTGCTGTAGTTGAGCCCACGGCTGAGTTGCCGCCACAGCTGCTCAGGCCTTTAGGACTGGAACAGGAGTGCGATCTTTGCTCCATGAAAGCTCGTTCCATGATGTCAGATGCTGACTATTTGCTCCCCTGCTGTGCTTGTCCAGCAGGGTTTTGTTTTGTTTTTTTAAGAAAGAAAGGGAACATGGAAATGTGTCTGTTCCCCCCCACCCCCAGCACTACATGCACTTGCAAAGCAAGATCAGCCCCACCCACACCCACCCCATCCATTATGTGGGGAAAAATTGTCATTCATTTTGCATATCCCTATTCAGAGTCACCGTGAGAATAATGCTAGTGATAAATTCCACTTTTGGAAGCACCAGCAAAGGCCCCTTTGTAAATGGATGCTACCAACATATGCATGTTGTCATTTCGAATAGGAACCACTTTTCCAAATAAAGAGGAGAAAGAGGCTGTTTAAAAAACAAAGAATAATCGCCCTTTGATATCTGTGAGGTTCTCATAGGGCAGATTCCTTCTCTGTATGGGCACCAAAAAGACAGAGAGACAAGATAAACATCTCTCAGGGAAATTAGCTGTCCTTCTGGTGCTGGCATCCCCCCTTCTCTGGACAGGTATGTTGCTGGCTGCAGGTAATCCTTGTCTTCTACCTACCCAGGCAGCAATTCTATGAAATAGCTGCCAATTCAAGTGCAGGGAGAAATTGCTGTGAAAATTGTGAGGTGTTTCTTTCTGAACCAAACTGCCTGCGGTAGTTGGCTGAGATGAATCCAGTCGCCCCTGCCCATCCGATTTTCATGTTTTCTGTGTGGAGAAGCATTTCTGAGAACAGTCGCAACAGCTGGTGATGAGCAAGCCCCTTTGCCCACACCATTCTGTGGCCAGGTGCTTTCCTTCTCTTTTTTATCCCCTTAGCGGCTGAACGCCCCCCGCTGAACCTCTTGTGCACAACAACATTCATTCAGCCCTTTAAGATGTGCTTCAAAAACCCATTTAAAAGGACCTGTGTAAATAGTTCTGGCCAGCATATAATGAACAATATTCAGCTGAGCAAAGAACACAGGGACTCTGCAGGTATTTTCTTTTCTGTGGGAAGAATGTGGCCGACTTAGGAAGGCGGGAAGACAAATAATTTGTACACAATTTATACAGACAATACTGTGGACTTGATGTAGTCTAGAAGATAATGTGCCACAGGGTAGATGGATGGCCTGGCTTTGCAGCATCTGATGTACTGCGAGGATCAAGGGCAAATCATTTCATGACTGTGTTTGTGCCCAGCCCTGCTCTATTTTTTGCATCTCTTTGATACAGAGATTGTTTCTCATTATTTGCCAGTGCTGTGGACTTGAATTGCAGCCACAGCTTTTCAAGAGGTTATTTATTTATGAAAGCTCATTGCCTACAATGCAGAATTGACATGGTCTAACCTGTTTCAACTCTGGGCATGGCCTTCTAGAAGCTACTGCAAAACAGGCTGGCAACTTGGGTGTCATGTTACCAGAAAAGAGGACAAGTATCATCGGGGAGAGAGAAGGAGAGAGAGAGAGAGAGAGAGGAGGGAGGCAATGCAGGATACAAATTCATTTAACATTGGGTGCAAATTTAGACACAATGACCATCATTTAAAGAGGAATACATCTCCCCAGAGTGAGAAAGACTGTGCCCAGATTACCTCTGTTCCTGCTCGTACAGCAGCTGGCCAGGTGCTGACTGTGGAAGGGCAACATCAGGGTCACTGCTGACTCGTCCTCTTGACGGTTCTTTCCCTTCCATCTGGACTCGAGCTGAACCACCTTACAAACAGAGGACGGTCCTTGGCAAAGTATGACCTATGGCCACCCAAAAAAGAGGGCATGGGATGGCCTGTTTCTTAAATGGGGCGTCTGCCAATTTCATTCACACAGGTGGCCCCTTTCCTGTCCTGACTGCTCAAACAGGTTTGATTTCTGGTTGTTCTGCAAATTTCAGTGGTACCTGTTTTCCAAAGGTATGCCCATGCATGGATTTAATTCCCAAGTAATTATGAGATTATGACTACCTTATAAGCAAAGGGTGGCCACCTGCAGCCCTAAGCCTGATATTCATGCAACCCTCAGTGTCGTATCCAGCCATGGAGCCAGCTGGGTGACTTAGGGCCAGCCACAGCCTCTCAGCACAGCCTACCTTACAAGGTTGCTGTTGTGGGAATAAGCTTGAGAGCAGCAGGAACAGAAGGATGCAGGATGCCCTGAGTTCTTTTTTAAAAGGTGGGCTATAGATCTAATAAATAATGAAATATCAAAAGCTCTGTGCAAGTTCGGGTCTCTGGCAAAGATAATCTGCCCCCCCCACCTATTGGGCAGAGAGGGGCAAAAGAGAGAGGGAGGGCAAGAGACTGTTCCTGCCCACTTTGGGGATTGGCTCCACCCCATCATGCCTTTTGCTTCACACACTACCAACACAGGACCCCAAAGAGACAACTCCCAAGGGGCTGCAACCCTCAGGGAAAAGGCCACCCACTCCTTCCAGAAGCATATTGGTTGCGTTTCTGTTCCCACCAACATTTAGACTCATGAAGCTCCCTTATTTCAATTGAGGGCACGATCCTGGGGCCTCCCAACACCATCGCACTGCATGCTCTGGACCATGTGAGCCTCCACATTTGGAGGCTTATGCACATCAAGAGCAGGGGGCACTGGATTATGCCTGACACTGCGGATCCGCCTGGTTAAGTATTGCTTTTCCTGGCTAATAGCTGCCTTCCATGGTTACACATGGAAGTTTTCCCCAGTTCTCCTTGGAGATCCCAGGGACTGAGCATGGGAATGTCTGCATACAAATCATGTGTTCCATCACGGGGATAAGCCCCTTTCCAATTCTTCATTCTGTCTTTCGCCCCGTTTCCAGACTTTAATACTTTTATTTGTAAGTTAGAAAAATGCTGCACACACAGATGTCGTTATGTGATTACAGAAATCAATGAGATCTGAGATATAGTCAAAATCCACAACAGGTATTGCAAGGCTGCAGTATTTCAATAGCATTCTCTGCCAGCAGCTTTCTGGCTCTGAATAAATGCTCCCCTGGATATTTGCTTTTGCTGAAGGAACACAATAGAGAATTTCAAAGCATGGCTTGCCTGTATGAATCCTGTGGTTTTTATCTACCCTCAGAAATACTCAAAGTTGCACAGAGGAAGATGGGTGGGGCTGAAACAGTGATGATGCCTAGAGAGCGGTGCTACCAGCTCTTCTGGTGCGCGTCAATCACCTTCTATTTCATTGTTCTGTAAAATATTTCCTCCTATGCACGTCAAAGGAGCTGGCTCACTCAGGCTCCAGCCACTGGCCACAGAGTTCGCTTTCCCTCCTGCAGCAGCAAAGAACTGTTTGCTTTGCTGCTGCAGCAGATGGAAATAACCTGTTCCAACCGCCGCCGTTGCCTTGATGCATATGAAGCATGGCTTGTGGGCTTCCTCTTGGGCATCTGCTTGGCCACTGTGTAAACAGAATGTTAGGCCAGATGGACCTGGTTGGTCTGATCCAGCACAGCTCTTCTTACGCATTCTTATATTTCTATGACTAAAGTATGAAAGTTATTGTT